CCAAGTACCCTAAATTTCTGGGTAATTTTTGGCACCTAAATTTCTTTAGTGTACCTATTGCCTCTAGGGTAACAAAAGCAGAAAAGGAAAAAAAACCACATTCTGTGCTTCTCTTTCCTGTCTGATGAGTTCAGAGGAGATCTGGCAGAAGGATGCTTTAAGAAAAGCTTTCCCCTTTTCCTTACAAGAATCCCAGGATGTTGCCAGGCTGTTCTTAAACCTATAGCTTTAAGCTAGCCTCCTCACCCAGCTGTCCAAGAACCCCAGAGCTACAGCCATAACCTCTGTGGGCGCCAGTGAGCCGCCGGGCAGTGCTCACTACATGGAGCAGCAGCGCGACTATTGGGAGAGTAACCAACCACTTCCAGGTTGAAACTGAGTCCATTCCTCAGGCGTGAGCTTAAAACTGGAGTCATAGACTTGGTCAAAGGTCCATGGCTAGGGAGAACATAGACCACAGTGGGGAAGCTGCTACTGTTGTTTTGCTAAACTGGCATTATGATTGCCTTCTAGATGTTTCTGTTTATACCTATAAACTAGTGGTGCTAAGAGCTTTGGTAAGAGGAGTTTCTTCCTGCACTGGGCAGCAGTCATTGCAGAGACTTGAACTGATCTAAACATTGAGCATAAGCAGATGCTGTTCATTTCTTCTATTCCGATTTGGTATGATGGACCACGCCCTCCTGAAGGGTTGGTGTAAACATCTTCAGAAAATTGCTTCGCTCAACTGCCAACTGAGAAGAAACTAGCACACAGGTTATACCATGAAAGACCTAATTAACGACACCCCCATTCAGCAGGAAGCAGTTTGGAGAGAAAAAACTGTGCCCATGTTCCCAAATATGGTTTATAAACGTTCTTTTACATTTAAAGCGGGATATGATATAGGTATGAATAATTTGCATTAGTATAGATTTTGCTTTTAGTATAGATTGAGATTTACGGTCAATTTTGTTATATGTATATGTATTTCTGATATTGATTAAGGTGTTGTGATTGTGTAGTTCATTATTAAAATGTAATGTATATTTAGGAAATATAGGTTGTTGATGGATAATCATAAATAATAGTCAAGTTTGTAGTCATGTTAGTTAATATTTTCTAGATGTGCGTAGATATATTTTAGATAGGCATTCTTCATATTTTTCAAAGATTATAGAATGTGGCATTTTAAATGTTTTAATAACTTAGGACTTTTCATAACAATGAGACACTCTGCTCCTGGCAGCACCAATCTACTTCAAGAGGAAGATGGGCATCGAAGAGGATCCTTATGGAGTTTGATAGCCATTTGGGCAAGAAACTGCTCTTGCCTGGACTATTGCATAAACTGGACACAGAGAACCCACAGAGAGAGGACTACTGAACTTGCCTAAGATGAGATGATCTTTCGGGGTTCCTGATTCATGAAAGAGTCTGCGAGACATTCTGCAGGACACAACAGATAGTGACTGAACTGACTTTGAATTTTCCTGCTTTATTCAAATGTCTGCTGGATACCATGGGCCTGAAGGCTGAAGATGGATGCCCCAACGGTACAGAGGAACTTTGGGTGACTGTCCAGGCAGCGAGATGTCTCTGTCATTTCTAGAGTTTTAAAAGTTGCTTTTTTCTTGTTTGCTTAGTAGTATTGTATCTTTCTGGAGTCTTTGATGGAGTTAAGAATAGTTAGTTATAGTTATAGTTTTCCTTAGTTATGATAAAGATTATTGTAACTTTTACTTGATAACTTTTGTTATATGTAATTTTGCTATGTTAAAGTTAAAGCCTTTTTTTTTGTTTAAATCGAAAAAGGGGAAATGATGGAGGAAGGTCATTGGTTAAATAAAAAGAAACTGCTTGGCTCTCATTGGTTAGAGATAGGTGGGAGGAGTAAACAGAAAAGAACGCTGGGAGGAAGAGGAAGTGAGCTCAGTCTCAACAGCTCTCCGCTCGGGAGCAGACGCCTGAGAGAGACGCCATGCTCCTGGCTCCTGGGCAGATGCACGCCATGAAGCAAGCCGCCAGGTTAGACATGCTGAACCTTTCCCGGTAAGACCAGTGCTCACCAATTATTAGAGATGGGTTGATCGGGATAACAGAATTAGCCAGTAAGGGCTAGGGCTAAAGGGCCAAGCAGTGTTTAAGTGAATTATTAGAGATGGGTTGATCGGGATAACAGAATTAGCCAGTAAGGGCTAGGGCTAAAGGGCCAAGCAGTGTTTAAGTAAATACAGTTTGTGTGTTGTTATTTCGGGGCATAAGCTAGCCGAGCAGGCGGCCGGGGTGCCGGGGAGGCAGCCCCGCCGCCCTTATTACTACAATAAGCGACTGTTGAAAGGTCAGCCCTAAATGGGACATCCATATCACCCCTTCCAAGGCTCGTGGAGCATCAGTGAAGGGCAGGGGTAAAGAGTGTAAGGGCCAGGAGTGGAGCGTTGTGCGACACTGTGTTCCAGGCTGGCAGGACAGCCACACTCTTCAGTAGCTGTGATTACCTGAACCAGTCATGGGCAAGATTGGGCCCGTGGTGGAGGGGGAGGAGGCTCATGAGGCCCTACTCCTCCCAGAAGAGACAGAGGCAATTAATGGTAGCTGGAAGACGGAGAGATATTTTCTTCTGTGATGTAGCCAGTGGTAAGTTGCTCTTGTAAGGAAAAAAACAAAACAACAACAACAAACAACAATAAAAACACTCTCACTTATGCTCCTGTATGTGACCCTAATGAAACCCATTGGTTCACAATTGAAGAAGAAGAAGGAGGAGGAGGAGGAGAAGGAGGAGGAGGAGGAGGAGGAGGAGGAGGAGGAGAAAGAAGAAGAAGAAGAAGAAGAAGAAGAAGAAGAAGAAGAAGAAGAAGAAGAGAACAGGAGGGAGGATACAAGAGGGACATTGGGGGAATGTTACCATGTCACAACACAGTATAACCTATGATTAGAATATGCTTTAAAGTTTTTTCAAAAGTAAAGAGTAAAGAAAAGCTAAAATATAAAATATAAATTAAAATAAAGAGATAAATAATAATAAATAAGTAGATAAATAAATATAAATATTAAGCATTACAAAACTTAAGTTTTGAGTTTTGGATTAAGTTTTGTTTTGGGAGGGTTATTTTGGTGTTTGTTTGTTTGTTTTTGAGTCAACTTTGTTTTTGGTTTGCCTGAAAGTGACTGCATAGGCAAGACTACCTTGAACTTGCAAGCGTCCTCTTGTCTCTGCCTCCTGAGTACTGGGGTTGAACGTACCTGCCTGGCCACTTTTAATAAGATTTAACATTCTCATTCATTTTCAACTTGGGTAAAAATTTAGTACAGTATATTTAGGTTAACTTTATACAAAATCTAAACTATGCTGGCCAGGAAAAAATAATAATCTTTTTAAAATTTAAATAATCAATGTTAAATAAAATTTCAAAGCACTTTATGGATTCTAAGTTAGTAAAAGTACATCAAGGAGACTGGGCTAAAAAATCCTAAAATAAGAATGCCCTGTGTTAAAACCCCAAGTCTTCATCATAAAACTTCTCAGTGGACAAAGAATAAAAATTGGTATTGCCTTGACTTTAACAGCTGCCCAGTAGACTGTTCTCTGATGGCAAGACAAAACACTAACCAAATTGCTTCCGTGGAATGAAATGACAGCCCATTAGAACGAAAGCGGAAGGCTTCCTGAGCAAGACCAAGATGCTGCCATACGCTAGGGAAACAAGAGAAACAGCTCAGTCGCCCATAAAAACTCGGTTTTTGGAATGACCAAGCTCAAGTTCTGTTTTTAAGAAGCATTAGACTTTCCCAAACACAGGCTGAAAAAAATATTACTGAGAAAGTAAAAAGTAGCTAGGAAGAAAAGCTCATTCGGCAGAGACGAGACTGTCAGTCTCTGTGTCCCTGAAAGGTCTGGACTCAGCCTTATTTTCTTTCTATCCTAGAAAAACCCTTTGGAAGAAAGGCCTCAGAACCGCTTGGAAGTTCCACTCCCCTGGAAACGGGAAGGGTCCGTCATTTGTCACATAGGCCACCTGCGTACATTACTCTGCCTGTCGCCTGGAAGCCACACGGAAAAGTCCCCACGCACCTGCTGCTCGGTGTCCTGCCTCTTAGGGTTCTAACGATACCAGCAGCACTGATCAGAAGATAAAATATTTGTAAAAGACAACCAGAATACATTCTGATCTTTGAATAGCTTACTCATCAAATTCAAAAGTATTTTTACTTAAGTGTCTTCAGTGACCACAGCGTGGAGCCTCTTCGAATTAAAGTGAAAGACCGAACAGAGCAATTCTCCTAAGTTGGCAAAATTTAAATAAATTACCACAAAACTGACCTTAGAAACAAAGAGCAATGGAGCAGGAGAAGCCAGATTTCTTCCTGGCAGTACCACGGTGGCAAATATCCAGAACTAAGGAAAGCTGCCAAGGGAGGGAAGAGAAAAAGAAAGGACTTTGCAAAGGCAGCAGACCCAGGCACACTGCCTTCCCCACAGCGGAGGAGATGGAGCAACACACAGGTAGGTCTGCCTCGGTCTTTATTGCAGCGCAGTTCAAAGGCCGCCATGGAGCTCACAGGAAGCCGCCCCGTTTCCTGGATTGGCACCACACAGCCCACCAGCTGCAGTGGCAGCATTTCTAGCCCAGCTTCTGCTTTTCCTTTGGTGCCAGGAATGGGGGCTCACAATGGGCCAGAGAGACGACCACCTCAAAACCAAGGACACGTCCCCGCTTGTGAGAAAAGTGGCTCTCCCTCTGCTGAAAGACAGTCAGGAACCATGCCAGTTCTGATGGCAGGAGAGCCGCCATGATGGCGTTCTTCCTGGGGAGTGACACAAAGAAATGAGGACGGAGCAGTCACCTGGGTGGGATGGCTGTGCGCACCCCGTCACTCTCTTCGGTCTCAGCCTTGGCCCAACACATATATTGACAAACGAGAGAAAGTAATTACATATAAAAAAATCAAACTGAATGGGTATGTGGGTGGAGCAAACATAAAAGAAGAAAATAAAAGTCTTTTTTTTTTTAAGTTGCTCAGGGCAGCCTTCTGTAATTGCCATAGAAATCCGTGATCCATTGCTTCATGTGTTTGACTTCTACTGTGCGGGCTAACTGTAAGGACGGTGGATCCGTGTCCGTGCTCGATCGCAGATCTAAATGGTGGGCCCCCTCTGGGATGTTGACTACCACCAGTGTATCAGAGAGATCTTCAGTAACTCCACCTCCCGACCATGGGTCCAGGTCACCATTGCTGCCAGTGAGGGAAACAAGCAAAATTAAGGCTGTCAGTTCTTTATGAGCACATTCAAATAAAATATGACAAGCATTCTTTAGGCATAAACCTGAAAATAGAAACAATTTGGGAGGTTTGGTCTGTGTTGTCATATTAAAATTTTTCTTGGTGTGTGGGTGCACCCCTCGTGGTCCTGAGTTCCTTGCTCGTGCGAGGGAGGGGGACTTGATCGGGGGAGGGGGAGGGAAATGGGAAGCGGTTGCGGGGACGAGGCAGAAATCCTTAATAAATAAATAAATTTAAATAAAAATTAACAAAAAAAATTTTTTTTCTTGGTGCTTAAGCTTTATGCTATTTCCACAAAACACAGAACCAAGGAAGGCTGAATCCGCGGACTTCACAGCTTAATCTCGATTAGGCATGTCCAACCTCCTGACTTTACTAGGTCAGTTTTGATGATGAAGAATTTTCTTGGGCCACATGCCAAATGCACAAACACTAACAACACTAGATGAGCAACAAAATGACCTGTGTATAAATATAATATACAAATAAATATAAATATTGTGACACCCGCCACCAGAGAACATCAAAAGGTCTTCACATATCCATCCTTATGCAACATCCTGCTCAAAAGGGCTTTTCAAATGGTGGAGCAGGTCACAGGTTTGCAAATTACTAAGAGGAGGATGCACATATCAAACTTCACTGATTTTTTTTTTACAGTATTTGTTATAAATGCAGGAGAAAAGAGAAATTTAAGACTATTTTTAAAAGGAATGCACTAATATCGGGTTTGATGGCCGTACTCATGGTGCTCACTGGTTGTTTTGGTTTTAATTCTCAGTGTGCTTCGCTCTTGTAAATGACTGCTTACAAACCTAAGTGTGAACAACAACACTGGCCAAAGTACTCCAGTTTTCCCATCTCATTCAATGTCAAATTTCAAGTATTTTCTAGAACCTACGGGCTTCTGCATTACCCAAGCCTCTGTGGTCTCTGAGTTTATCTGAGTGAGTACCTCCCTCATTAAGCCACTAAGAACTTTCTAGCCACAAGATGTCCTTGGTCCTTGTTCCTTCCTCTGGAGTAGGGTTCCCCACCAGCCTGCAGCTTGCAAGGTTCTGTCCTTAGTCAGGTGATTTTGCAAAAGATGCCACCTGGCAAGGGTATTCCTGGTGTGTGTGTGTGTGTGTGTGTGTGTGCACATGTATATGTTATGCATATGTCTGTATGTGCCACATTTTTTTTTAATCCATTCTCTGGTTGAGGGGCATCTGGGTTGTTTCCAGGTTCTGGCTATGACAAACAATGCTGCTATGAACATAGTAGAACTCATGTCCTTGTGGTATGATTGAGCATCTTTTGGTTATTTCTGGGTCTTGAAATAGTTTGTTTCCTAATTTTCTGAGAAATCTCCTTATTTCCAAAGTAGCTGTACCAGTTTGCACTCCCACCAGCAATGCAGGAGTGTTCCCTTTACCCCACATCCTCTCTAGCATAAGTTGCCATCAGTGGTTTTGATCTTGGTCATTCTGAGAGGTGTAGGATGGAATCTCAGAGTTGTTTTCATTTGCATTTCTCTGATAACTAAGGATGTTGAGCATTTCCTTAAGTGTCTTTCAGCCATTTTAGACTCCTCTGTCCAGAGTTCTCTGTTTAGGTCTGTACCCCATTTCTTTAATGAATTATTTGTTCTTTCGATGTCAAGTTTGAAAGGAAATTTTTTTTAAAGTCTCTCTCACACAGATGTTGTGAGGTCAAATCTGAATAATACATATGAAAAGATGGCACAAACTATAACATACCACACAAATGTCCAGTTCTTATAATTATTATCATATACTGTAACCATGGAAACGGATAATACCTCCAGGAGGTACACAAATCATGAAAATGGATTCAAAAGTGTTTCTTATATAAATTTAGGCAGAATGCTAATGCTATCAATCTTTTCTAGATAAAGGCACTGCACAAATTGAATTAAAAAATAAACATTCAGGCATGTGAAGTGGAAATGTGTTTGAGATAGAACTTTAAATTCCCTTCTCCATCATGTACTCAAAAAAAAAAAAAAAGCTTAATTGTTAACTTGTTAATATTCTCAGGGGGAAAAAAAGTTATTCCAAAACCAGGCTTTACTGGTATGGTTAAAAATAAAAGATTGGCTTCTCTTGGGAGAACAAACAGCCTTTATCACTGCTCCAGTTTGACAGGCTCAACCCAGTCAGGAAATGCTCCAGCATTTGCAAAACAAAAAGTTGCTGCAGCCACGTGAAGAGCAAACTGCATCTGCTTTAAAAGGTCATCTACAGCACCTGGTCACTTAGCAACAGTGTTTGGAGTTGCCCAGAGACCTCCTCTGCACGAGGACTTGAATTTCTCAGTTCAGATCAATGAAAGCTACCCCAGCCTCTGGGAAATCTCAGGATAGAGGCTGTTTTCCTCAGGGACACCAGATACCTGGCAATAATTAATTTGCCTGAGAAACAATGTTAGTTAACCAGTTCTTCATGGAGACTCTTCTGAATTTATACTTAAATAATTGAGACTCAGCACTGGGTTTTAGAAAACCCAAATCTTGATGGTAACCAGTATCAAATGTGTTGCTTCTTGAAGTCATTGACAAAGAAGAACAAGGCCAAGGAAGACCTTTCCCTTAACATCAACCTAGATGGGCTTCTGCAAAGGAGTTGTGAGGATTCTGGGTAATTAGTTTAAAGGGCCTCATGCCTTACAGTATGGGCGAGACTACAGAGTGGGCACTGCCAAAGTGTCTGTTGAACAATGTTGAGTATTAGTGCTCTAATTCCTAACAATGACAGCACAAACTGACAACAAAAGATGTCTTGTTTCCTGATTTAGAGATTGCACTAGAAAACCCTAAAGGGCTCACTGTTGCATTCTGTGCTGTTTTATTGTCCCACCCTTTCCTAATTCTGTTCTCTCAGCCATTCTGCAGTGGTCCCCAACAACCGAAGTTCCTCTTGGAACCAACAGAACTCACCTGAAAATGATGTTCGAATGTGAACGGATGTCTTTGCCTCCATATAGGGTAGTGATCCAGGAAGGGCGTGGCCGCACACCCCACTGCTTATAACAGTCGTCAGAATACTTATCTAAATCCCATGCACGGGCCTCAAACATGTCATCAATACCATTTGTGCAAAAGGGCAGAATTATTTCCGTGCAGGTCTAAAAGCAAACCAAGAAAATAAATGAAGAGATGAACTCTTCAATATCATCCAGCTGCTACAAAGAGAGTAGCATCGTTATCAGTGGGTAGCAAAGCTGAGCTCTAAACTTGTAATCGAGCTTCAGCCCCACCAACCCCCTTTACATCCCAGCCACACAACTCCTTTATTTCTCATAGAAAGACAAGGCTGAAGGTTCACAGAAGAATATGTATTCCTTTCTCTGCAAGGAGTATTCTTTCACATTTATGATCATATTTAACCCTAAAGGCAACCTTAGGAGGAAAGCATCATCATTATCACCATCACCACCATCATCATCACCACATCATCACCACTATCATCACCACCATCATCATAATCATCATCACCACTATCATCACCATCATCATCATAATCATCATCACATCATCACATCATCACCATCATCACCACCACCATCATCACATCATCACCACTATCATCACCATCATCATCATAATCATCATCACATCATCACCATCATCACCACCACCATCATCATCACCACCATCATCACCACCACCATCATCATCATCACCACCACCATCATCAACATCACCACCACCATCATCATCACCACCATCATCACCACCACCATCATCATCACCATCATCACCACCACCATCATCATCACCACTATCATCAACACCACCATCATCATCACCATCATCACCATCATCACCACCACCATCATCATCACCACCATCATCACCACCACCATCATCATCACCATCATCACCACCACCATCATCATCACCATCATCATCAACACCATCATCATCACCACCATCATCACCACCATCATCATCATCACCACCACCATCATCATCACCATCATCAACACCACCACCATCACCATCATCATCATTAGTCTTAACAGTGCAGATAAAGAATGCAGTCGAGATGTGAACGCAGGTTAGGTGATAAACTCTCCTCTGGTCACTATTGCAGCACAACTATAGGTAGCACCAGGAAGAAAGATGTCTCAGGAACCACGCATGCTTACCTGGTAGCCCCAAACTCGGGACCCCAAGTTTCCGGTTGTTGTTTCAGAAATATTGTTGCATTTGGACTGGCCTGAGTAATTGTAATATACATTCAGAGCTTGGTAGATGTTCTGAATCAGCAGGGAATCTGACATGTAGGGGTTTGTCAGATACTGGCACACGACCTGTCATTTTGAAGAGATAAACAAAGGAAGAGTCAGATACTAATAAAAAAAAATTACAGCATAATAACACAAAAACACGATTCACTTCACCAAACAAGCCATTGCCTCAGCCCATCCATAGCAATTCTTCTATGGACTATTACTTGGTACTTCATGTAACTTCAAGAAGGCATGTATTAGCGAATATGGACTGCTCTCTCTTCTTTCATGGTGTGTGTGTATGTATTCACATGTGTGAGGCACACATCTATGTAGGGGCATGCACACATGTGTGTAGGTACATGTGAGGCTCAAGGTTGGCATCAAGAGTCTCTCTAAGACCCTGTTGATCTAATTCCTTGAGGCAAAGCTTCTACTTTCCTGGTCTCCACGGGAACGGTGGTTCTGTAAGTCTATTTCGCCATTAAAGCTGTATATATATTTTTACAATCTGTCTGCATTCGTTTACACCATTACATTTTGGCGCCCAACGTGGGGCTATTTTGCCCCCGACCCTAACACAGCACCCTCACTCGGCCACACAGGCCCATTCTGCCTGCCTTGGCTACGTTTGCAGCGGAACCCCACTGCCTGAATTAGCAGAAGCTCAAGTACCTGCGGTTTTGCAACAAAAGCTGCCACAGCAGCAGATTTGATCTGATACAAAGTGACTTGGCCGGGCTGTGGTGGCGCACGCCTTTGATGCCAGCACTTGGGAGGCAGAGGCAGGCGGATCTCTGTGAGTTCAAGGCCGGCCAGGCTGTGGTGGCACACGCCTTTAATCCCAGCACTTGGGAAGCAGAGGCAGGCGGATCTCTGTGAGTTTGAGGCCGGAGATCTGAGCGCCCATCTTGATGCTTGCACAGGCAAGTGTTTTACCCACCGAGGCCTCTCTCTCCCCAGCAGGTGAATAGCTTTCTTGTCTGCGAGATTTCTCAGCGCCTCTAAGATTTAAAAAAGGACTTTTCCCAAAGGACGGTAGCTGTGCACAGACTCTAAAAGCAAGCTTAAGAAATTCTAAATGTGAGAAAAATCACAAAATATGATATCCAAATAGCTAAATACACCTTTAAAAATAACTATAAGAGCTGGGTGTAAGGGCACACAGCTTTAATCCCAGCCCTCAGGAGGCAGAGGCAGAGGCAGATGGAGCTCTGCGAATTTGAGGCCAGCCTGGGCTACATCTATTCAGTGAGACCCAGACTTTAAAAAAAAGCAAAAACAAAAGAAAAAACAAAAACAACTATGAGGTCCAGTATGATAGATCAATGGCCATAGCTACTTACTGTAAAACCTGAGAACCTGAGTTTAAAATGAAGGACCCATGTGGTAAAAAAAAAAAAAAAAAAAAAAAGAGAATAGACTCTCACAAGTTGGCTTCCAGATGCAAAGCATAGTAAGTACACCTGCAGACACACCACACACACACACACACACGCACACACACGCATGCATGCACACACATATATATGCATGCACATAAATAAAAATAAATGTGAATTTTTAAAGGAAAAGATACCCAGGTAACCATGAGGTCATAAGTATACTCTGTGCCCATGTTCAAGAGTTACATAAGGAAACAAATTTGATCAAAATTGGAAGGACAAACTTGTTCCGCCTGAAGCCATAGACAATGCCAGCAGCAGAAAGTTAAAAGTCAAAACAGTCATTTCCTATTCTAAAAACTCTTTAATTATTCATGGCACATCAACAGTTACCTAGCATTTAACAATACCATTTTTCTCAGAAAGCAATCCTAAGACAGACAGCATTAGAAATATATAAAATGGTACGGATGCTAAGAGTCAATCACGGACTGTACTGGGCTACCCATCACCAACTACCGAGCCCTACTCCCTCCCTGCTGAATCTGACACCCTCAGCCAACTGAGCTCTTTCCAAGGCCAGCACAGAACTACAGAGTAGATTCAGAGGAAAACGTTCTGTTCGAGCAGTGTGGCAGACACGGCCAGTGGATGATGCAAGCTAGGCAGGAGAAAAGAGGGGCTGATGATGTACAAACACCTAAAACCCTTGGGAGGCACAGTAGCTAGTGGGGCTGACTCATATGCTGGCATTAGCCTCCCCCCGCCCTTAGAGCAGGAACACTGGGCCTCTGTTGAGGAAAGAAAAGGAGTCCCCATGAATAGCATCTCTGCAAAGAGCAGTTATTGTCTCTTAAAAGACACAAGTGTGGCTGGGGGCTGGCACCAGATAACAATACATGGTTTTCTGCAGCCCTAGAACATCTCGGGCACAGCCGTGGCCTCTGCTGATGGAAATTCCATGACCTGATTAGGGCCAGTCCTGGGTCCACTGCCCTTCTAAAGGCAGATCCTCCTGGGAGGACAGGGTCCAGTTCTGACCACCAACTGGTCAGAAGGACACCCACCAATTTAAAACAATCCGTAGAGGAGCAGTGAGACTTGGGAGTTGAGCAACAGAGAAAGCCTTAAGGCTATTCATTTGAAACATTGTTACTCTTTTTTTTTCAAAGTAACTTCTTACCGGAATTACTAGTTCAAAAAAAGAAACATTGTAACGCCTTTACTAGCTACCGTCTAGCTGCCTTTAATATACAAGTGAAAACCCTATAGTCTCCTTGTATGTTACTTAGAATGTCAAAGCTTCAACAGGCCCTGCTGTACTAAGGGACCACTCTGTACTAATTCATGACTGCTCAACAGTACAGGGATCCGGAGGGAGACGGTTGCACGCTTTTTACGCAGGCTTTTTAATCAGTTGTGTAATCTGCATAAAGCACGTAAATATTAAGTCAAAGGGAAACCATAGGGAACTGTCACACTTATGAGTCAAACATTATCGACTTTGGCACAACCTCATGGAATACTTCAACTCAACGCTGATAGTTTGCAAATATTAGCCAACCGGTCAGGGCAAGCTTCCACTGTTAGTTGTTTACTGAGGGGCTGTGATTTAATTAGACGGGAGGAAGAATGCCCACGGCCGCACGACAAAGCTTCTCTCGAAGTCTCAGCACACAAATATCCCCTGCATCGGGCTATTCGCTTGTGTGTTGTGAGCTTTGTTTGGAGTGTGTGTGTGCGTGTGTGCATGTGTGTCTCTGTCTGTGTCTGTTTGAGTGGGAAGGTATGTGCATGTGTGTGTGTGTTTGATTGTGTGTGTGTATTTGTGTGTGTGTGCGTGTGAGAGAGACAGAGAGTTCACCAAGTTGCTCAAAATGCCTTCAAACTTGCAATCTTCTTGCTTTAGCCTCCCAAGTAGCTAGGATTACAAGCCTGTGCTCCAAGGTCCAGCTTCCACATTTATCTTCATAAACCCATGTCTTTTAATTGTTTGGGGGTTTTTTATCTTTATATGTTTTTAGTTTATTTGATTTTTATAAAAACTAAGAGTCATTTTGTTACAGGATAAATTTAAATATATTTACACTAGTTTAAAAGAAATTAAAATAGCAGATTAACAGGAGACTCAGTGCCAGCCCCTTGAATCAAATAGACAATTTATTTTCTGTTTCCTAGTAAATGTAAACACTCAAGGGACAGTTTTTTAAAAAAAAATTACAAGACAAAAATAAAATAAAATAAAAATGTTACGAGACAGGAAAGGTGGCTCAGCACACGTTGCTCTTGCAGAGGACCTGGGTTGGGTCCCCAGCACCCATATGGTAGTAAGTCCTGTTCCTGAAGATCTGATGGTCTCCCCTGAACTCCCTGGGTATCAGGTATGCACACGGTGTACCTACTCACATTCAGGCAAAAAAAAAAAAAAAATTAACCCACATAAAAAATAAATCTAAGAAAGAATTTCTTAAGAACATTGGACGTACACTTTAATAATTCTAGTTTTTAAAGGTTCGGGGAGGGGGCGGGAGGTAGTGTGGAAGACAGGCCTCAGCACTAGGGAGGCCAAAACTGGAGGATCACAAGTTCCGGGCTAGCCTGGGCTACAAAGCTAACCTTTGCCACGCAAATGAAAGAGAAGGAGAAAGTAGAACATTCATGCAATGCTGGAGTGGTCAGATCTGCACTCCAATGTGGTCTGCGCTTCTTGCCAACACAGAGGCAAGAAAGCAAGGATAATGGTTTGCTTAAAAGCCTTAGGTGCCAGTACCTAGGAGGCTAAGCATTAGAATAAAAGAAATAGTGGGCGGGGGGGGGGAGATACAATTCTTAAAAAGGGAAAAGATGAGCTTAAAAAAAATCAGTCTTCTCTCCAAAGTATGGTCCCTCCATTAGAAGAAGGATTAAATGGATACATTCAGCTTTTAGGCGAGATTTTCTTTCTCTGAGATTTCAACTCCACCCCTCCCACCCCCACCCCTTTCCCCCCTACCACCCCCCACACTGCCTCAGATAATCACATTGGTTTTGTCAGTAAAAGCTCTCCTTTCAGAGAATGCATTGAAACCTCTTAAACCACCCAGAGAGGGTGCATACATTATCAAACACCGAGACAAACGGAAGAGATTTTCCCTTTTATGTCTTACTATTTCGCTATGCCCGCGTGCTCAGAAGACTGGGCTCAAAGATGCTAAAACGTTCGCTAGGTTATTAGCTAAAAGAAAGACTACAGAATTTAACGAACTTTAGCCTCCTTTAAAAAAGCGCTTTTAAAGCTAAGAAGAGGCGTAGTGGTTTGTAATGTAACCCGAACCGTCAAATGACAGAGGGTTTTCTATTTCCTTTTTCTCTTCCTCCCTGTGTTCTGCCAGCCAAGTCCGTGATTATTTCTGCATGACTGTGGCAGCTTCTGTTACCAGTAAACAAAAGCAAATAGGGACAATGTGCAGAGACAAATTAGGGAGAATGAGCGCTGAATTGACGTGGAAAACAGCATTTAGTCGCTGCCCGAGGATACTCCAGAGATGTACGTGGCGCAGACAGCATGGGAAACAGCCTGCTCTCTCTCCCAACCCAACCGTTATCTCACGACGCTAAGTCTGAGTTAGGGACTCAGAAAAGGGTCTGTTTGTCAGCCCTTTAAAGAGGAGGAAGTGCCTCCGAAGGAGGAGGGGTTCTGGTTAAATGGAACCGTCCAAGTGAAAGAGCAGTCCCCAGCTGGGTAGTGTTCAGGGATTAGAGGGGGTAGCACAGACAGGGTCAAGAAAGGAGAAACGGAATGAGCGGAGAACAGAAAGCGATCTGAAGCTCGGTTTAGGAGCGAGGGGCAGCGAAAATGGAAAAAAGGGATCCGTGAAAATTAAATGTGCAGCTAACTGTGGAAAGAGAAGAAACAGGCAATTGGAGGCTCTCGAACCAACTGCAAAAGAAGTGGGTTTGGGGTTTGTTTTTTTAAGTTTTTTTGGGAGGGGTGTGGGAGGGCATCCAGACAAGAAACAGAATCATAAATATATTCCATAAGCTATCAAGAATTTGCCAGTATCAGGCTAGAAGTTTAGCTCAGTGGTAGAGTGCTTACGTATCATGTATGAACCCTGGATTCTGTTCCACAAAACCGTTTCACAAAAGTGAACTCCTTAATAGAATCAAAAATAAAGAAAAAAAAGAATTATTTTGGGAAGAAATTATTAAAGAGAATGACAAGAATTGGTTTCGGTTTTTAAAAAGTAAGAGGCAACTATAGGTAAAAAGAAGTTATTCTGCAAAATAAACTTCCGAATCATATACACACAGTGCTTAAAGGGGGCTGTGCTGAACTGGAAAACAGAAAAGACCTTCTGAAAGATACTCCACCGGCTGCAGCTTATTCCTTAAAGAGGATGGAGGAACAGTGGGTTCCTCTTAAGACTAAACAATAAAGCTCCATAGAAGGAACATTGAGAGCCCAGGTATACTGCTGCTCTCTAACCCAAGTCCTAATGAAAGCTGGTAACACGAAGAAGCTCTCCCTAGGGGTCTCTCTAGATGATGAATCAGCAAACTAACCTACAGGCCAGCTGCACTTCCCAACAAAGCATGATTGGCCATTCTCACTCACAGATTACCCACGGCTGCTTTCCCGCTTCAGTCGGCTGCTTTCCCGCTTCAGTTGCAAAACTGACAGAAACTCTTGAGGCCCCACCACACCTAAAATAGAGTTCATTATAATATGGAGTCTTCCAATCCCTGTTTGGCACAGTATCTAACAATTCATTTGTTCTTCAAGAGGAATGATGATATATGTGTAGTTATTACATTGTAGAACAGTAGAATACACTAGGTAAGCTTGATGCTTAAATCCAGGTTTTCTAAGAACAATAGAATACAAAGAGGTAAGCTTGATGCTTAAATCCAGGTTTTCTTAGGAAAGAGACGGCAGCTGTTTTTAGTAACTTTGTATTCAGGTGTAGGGGTGCACCCCTACAATCCCAGCACTTAGAAATGGAGGCAAGAGGGGGTGAGTTTGAGGCCAGACTGTGCTACATGGACAGTTCTAGACCACCCTAAGTTACAAGGTGAGCTTTGCCTCAAAATCATAATAATCTGTCTCAAAATAGTAATATTTTAATAATAACAACTTTGCGTTATCAACATCCACCTTAATCCAATGCATGTTAGTTTCCAGTCTGTTCTGTAGAAGATGTCCACTCTATACATAAGAGAAATAACTCTGAGAGCAAGTAGACTTATTTTATTTTAATTATAAATTTTTAAGTGAGGTATAGTTTCATCAGTCCAGTGGGACACTTGAAGAGCTGTTGAAAGTTGGCTCGCACAGAACTAATTAAATTTTCTTTTCCCGCTCCCATTCTAGTTGTGGAGGTGAAAGTGTTGTAAAAACACAACTGTCTTTTGCTTTTTAAAACCCTTGTTCTTAACAAGAGATTACTTAAAGAACATATACATATAAATGGTGTGGCAGCAAAAGAGTCTTTAAAATAGAAAAGAATTTAAGTTTATTTAATTGTCTGTGGTTGCTTGAATGTAATTGGCCCCCATAAGCTCATAGGAAGCGGCGCTAATAGGAGGTGTGGCTTTGTTGGGGTGGGTGTGGCCTTCTTGGAGAAAGTGTGTCACTGTAGGGGCGGGCTTTGAGGTCTCATACAAGCCTGAGCCATGCCCAGTGTCTCAGTTTACTTCCTGTTGCCATCAGATCAAGATCTAGAACTCTCAGCTCCTTCTACTGCACCATGCCTGCCTGCATGCCACCATGTCCCGCTGTGATAATAAAGGACTAAACCTCTGAACTGTAAGCGAGCCACCGTAATTAAATATTTTCCTTTATAGGAGTTGCCGTGGTCATGGTGTCTCTTCACAGCAACAGAAACCCTAACTAAGACAGTGTTTGTACATATGCAGCACCTATAAATCGGTGTCTTTACACTTCTCAGGTCCATATTGTTTGGATTTGTAACTGATACCTTGTTCTTCTGAGGCTGACAAGCAAAGACATGGCAACTCCAGGAGGAAGAGGGCCTTGTCCTGGATGTCCGTTCCTGGGGCCATGCCCTCCCCATAGCACCCGGTAGTGCTGTTCCCACTCTGTTGCTCAGCATAGCGATCACCCTTCACAGTGTGTAGCGTTTAGAAGGCTTCGCAGCTCACTATGTTAGCACTTCAATAAATAGGTCACTTATCAAGTTTCTACCATGTAGTGCATACATTTAGGCATAAAACACATATCACAAAATTGGATAAACTATATATACAAAGTACAGCCTTGGATTTGGTAATTATTACATTAACAGCAACCACTAATCTTATACGATAATCGATGCATTTTGTCTCCAATTCTCAGAAGAGGAAGCCAAGGCTAAGGAAAGTTACCTAAAACATCCAAGGTAACACAATCAGAAAATCAGCCCCAAACTGCATGCTCCACAGACCGCGCATCACCAGTATTTCTTCTTCTGATGAAAGCCACACCGTCATTTATAAACGAGGGCAGGGCACTGTCCCATTACCTTGATAGGCCAAGAAGGCAAAGGCTTTAAAAAGCTGGCTGGGTATGGGTAGTTCACCATGGCCAGGTTCACCCAGGTCTCAGCGATCCAGTCTTTCAGGCGTTGGATGTCCTCAGAGTTTAGGGAAGCACACAGGTGTAAGTTTCTGGTGAGCCATGGTAGACCACTGCCTGGAGACATAATGACATTGCCAAAAACTGCAAAATCCTAGTCAACAGAAGTCTTTAGAGACCTCTCGTTCTTCGTGTTGCATTACAGAAAATACAATGTTCTGTGCCGCTTCACCAAGAATTGTTGCACTATTCAACAAAATGCTTTAATACAATCTGATAAGTCCATGGCAGACAAATTTAAGTTCATCATGGGACTTGCCAAAGTTAGTATGCTTTATTACTTCCCATTTTAATTTGAAAAACTTAATATTTATTTAATTTGAAGTAAGCAGGAATACCACAGAGCAATGTGAATGAATAAGCAACCACATAAAGCAAATGGATGCAGCTAACATAGAGTATTGAGCAGAAGACACCAGGCCCAAAGCCCCACACATATGCACTGTACGATTCCCATTCCTGAAGAATTGAAGAACAAGGAAAATCAACCGGAGATGGAGGCAAGAGGATAGTGACGGACCATGCAAGCTTGCTGATACGACTAAGCATGCCATGGCTTTCTGAGAGTCTGATAATGCTCTCTGTTGGTGTGGGTGATAATTGCATCAGGACATTCATTGGCCCAGAAATTTTGATTTCTCTTCTTTTTAGGATTTATATTGTGCTTTAGCAAAAGGCGTGTTTCTTAAGAAGTGGGAGCTGAGAAAATGGCTCGGCAATTCAGAGCACAGGCTGCTCTTTCAGAGGATCAAGGTTCAATTCCCAGCACCTACGTGGTGCCTCACGACAATTTGTAACTCTAGTACCAGGCGATCAGATGCCATCTTCTGACTTCAGTGGACATCAGGCACACACATAGTACACAGATATACATGCAGGCAGAAAATCCGTGTGTGTGTGTGTGTGTGTGTGTGTGTGTACGTGCAATTAAGTGGCAGTATTGAACAAATGAAGCTCTATGAAAACACATTCTTTTAGGTAAAGCTTACCCGTATTTGAGAGTCGGTTAATGGCACCCCAAGACCTGAGGATGCTCTCCGAACATTTTTCTCCACTTTTCCTAAAATCCTCAGTTACTATCTTCATAAACACACCACAGGGAATCAAGTCTTGAAACTGCCAGATAGGAGCAGAAGCTGCAAGAGCTCTGAATTATCAGGGAAATGAGAGAAGAAACAACACGGGACTCAAATAAGTTTTCCAACAACAAGCTCAAGCCAGACAAAACCCCGCCTGGAGAGGGGAGGTGAGGTGAGTCCCTTCCGAACTGGCAATAGGCAGTTGCTAGGAGAGGGAGAGTTGGGTATCTTTAACAGTGTGGCCAACGATAGTCAACCACCCTCCATATCCAAGAGGTAGTACAAATAGAACTTGATGGGTTCAGAGAAGGAGGAGGGAAGAAGAGGGGGAGGAAGAGAAGAAAACACAAAGTTGTGTAAGTCGGGAAAGAGGGGATGAATCAGGAAGGAATTGGAAGAAAAGGGTGAAAAGGATGAAAGACATTGTATAAAAGATTCAATAACTAATAAGAACTAATGCAAAATTCAAATATAAATATTCTATAATATTTTATACATTATTTATAATTTTGAAATAATTTGAAAAAATAAATTAGAATGGAAACTGAGCCTTAACAAGATGATTGGAAAGATAGCATACCTGTTAACGGGAGGATCCAGAAACATCAATACAACAGCATGGAACAATTTACCCAGAATGAATCTCTTGTCTTGATCATTAAAAGTGCTGGTGGAGCCAGAGGCAGGCATGATGACTTTAATCCCAGCACTCAGGAGGCAAAGACAGGTGGATCTCTGTGAGTTCGAGGCCAGCCTGGTCTACAGAGCGAGTTCCAAGACAGCCAGGGCTGTTACATAGAGAAACCCTGTCTCGAAGGAAAAGAAAAAAATACAAGTTTTCCAGTCCAGTATAAATGCACTTACCCAACTACTAAATGAGGATATTTCATCCTGAACCAGGCCGCAAGCACACCGCCGTAAGAGCCTCCGATGGCGATGAAGGGTTGACCATCGGCGCCTGGGACAGTTCTTCTCAAGTGTCTGATTAACTCTGCAAAATCAGCCAGAGCTTGTTCTGATGTCAGGAAATTCAAATGCTTAGCATCCTGAGGGTTGGAAGGATGAACACAGATGTAAATGTGGACACAGTCGCCACATAGGCGAAGCTTACATCCAGAACAGAACTTGAATCGTGTAAGCTTTTCTCCAAACAGAGTTTCTAGGAAGTTGAGTCAAGAAGCCCAGTGAAAGCCAAGGTGTCAAGATTTCAACAACTCGTGAAAAGTGATTTGAGTTTGTGCAACATAATATATAATCATGAGTTCAAGGCTAACATGAGCTGGTAATGCCACTCTGTCTCAGAAACAGTAAAGAGGAAGAGAAAGAAAACTAGGAAAACATGAGTAGTGCTGGGGATGCAGTTGTGTTGGAAAGATGGCTACCTGTCTAGTATGAAACCCTAGGTTCAGTCCCAGAAGGTAGCACGAATTCTAATTGGTCTTAATAATAAAAACTCAGAGTCAGCTATCAGAGGGCAAAAGCTGAAGGATCAGAGAAGCAGAGTGGCCAGTCACTAAAGAGGTCTTACTTCTACCAATGTTCAGACCAAAGGGCTGATCCTGTCCTCAGACCGACTGCTCCCCAGACTGTATTGAGCTCATGTCTTCACCCAGCCATATCACTCCTGTCTCCACCTCCCTAGTGCTGGGATGAAAGGCCTGTGATCTCAAGTGTTGGGATCACCTTTGCATGAGCTCTGTACTCTTTTTGGGTCAATTTCCTGTAGCCCAGGGTATGCACTAACAGAGATCCATCTGTCCCCTGAGTCCTGGGATTAAGGATGTGTACCATCACCGCCAAGTCTCTAGTGGCTTAACTCTGCACTTGGGTCTTCAGGCAAGCTTTATTCGTTAAAACACAAACAAAAGACCACTACACAGACCCACACACAACCAGACACACTGTCCGTTGCACACCCGTATCTTAACACGTGAAATGTGAAGGTAGGACACACTTGGATATATGAGACCCTGCCCTATCCACTCCCCAAAAAGGACAACCTTAAAAATAATGTGTACATACCCTGAAAGAGTCCTCACCGAAGGGCAAGGACTCCCCATAGTACCGATGTTCAGCAAACACAAGCAAAGCTTTCAGCCTCTCAGCCACATCCCACATGAACCCCTGGGAAGAGATCACAAATCCAGGAGTAAAACTGAGGTGTAAAAAATATCACATTGAACTTTTGCAGACCATACAAAATAGATATTAAACCACACCAGAAAGAGTTCTCTGAAAAAATAATTGTGCAATTTGTGTTGTGTTCCACCTATACGTGATCCTTGTTGTGCGTTTGAACATCACACCACACTATCTTAGAGTGAAAGGAAAATGGGTTCTGCAGCCAAGTGTGGCAGGCCAGCAGTAGAGAAACAGACAGAGGGTCCCCCAGCCGTTAGCACGAAGCCAACCTATATAACATCGTAACTTCCAGATCAGCCTGAGCTGCCAATGATGAACCTGTCTCAAACTAAGAAATAAAAAGCAAAAACTAGGTTTTAGTTGTCTTTGCACTACAAATATCACCTCCTCTTCTGATTCCCACACCAAACTCCCTGGGGATTTTGATCTTAAATATTAGGAAACTAGCTAACATCAGCTGTTAATAACTCTGGCTTCCAAGGTGTCCAACACTGTTCTAACCAACTACGTGTAATAATTCACCTAATTAGCGCAATAAACAGGGATCAGGCAGTGTGGTTTTACAGACACGGACACTGAGACGCAAGGCTCAGTGTTCACGCAGGCGGCAGAGCCAAGATGAAATGCAGGCTGTCATGTGGAGCAGTCACCCGGGGCCACTGGACTCGCTTACGTCCCCACACTCATGGCTTCTCACTCATCATTTGCTGCCTCTTTCCCTTTGACTGGATGGTGCCCTCTGGATCCTTCCTAAGAGAGCGTGCCAGGCAGACAGCATCAACTGATTAGATGTTTAGCGTGGATTAAAGCCATGTCATTCCTGATGCTGCTGCTGGAGTTGAATAAGTTACTACTACTCTTTAACAAAGTATAGGAATCTCAAAATGGCTTTGGTTGTTTGGAGCAATCTCTCAGGAATTAGAAGAGCTACCTGTGATGATAATGGATATGTTAGCCTGATACCTGTGGTTTTCAAGACCCCGCTTCTCTTCTGCAGAGCTGCTCACTCCAGCCACACCCTGCTCAGGCACACCCTCTCCTGCCACACCCAGCTCAGGCACACCCTCTCCTGCATGCCCAGCTCATGCACACCCTCCTCTGCACGCCCCAGCCCAGCAGAGCTGTCCATCTCTCCTCAACACTGAGTGCTGCAAGAACCCCTCTACCTGCTGCAACAGGAACCCACAAGTCCGTCTTACACCACCAGGCTGTGAATGTCTGAAGAGTGGAAACAGACCTCTGTAGAACTGACCTCGGGCTTTGGCAGGAAGCAGCTTAACTGAACTGATGCCTGGTGCAATCAGCGATTATTTGCTTGCATACATTTCAAGGGCATTTTTAATTTTCAAAAGAGGGCTAAATAACGTGTTACATGTATTAACACTACAGACAGACTGTCTTTTCTTCCGTCAGTCCAAATAACAACAGGGAGACTTCTTTTTTTTTTTTTAACTTTAAAAAAATACCAATCCAAATTCCCACTCCCTCCCTTCCTCCCACTCCCTCCACACACCCTCCCAACCCACCCCCCTCCAGTCCTATAAGAGGGCAAGGCACCCTGCCCTGTGGAAAGTCCAAGCCCCCCCCCCTTACTACATCTAAGTTGAGCAAGGTATACATCCAAAGAAAATAGGATCCCAAAAAGCCAGTACATGCAGTAGAGACAAATCCCAGTGCCACTGTCAGTGGCCCCTCAATCTGCCCCAACTATCAACCCCATTCAGAGGGACTAGTTTGATCCCATGCTTGTTAACTCCTAGTACAGTTGGAGCTGGTGAGCTCCCATTAGCTCAGGCAAACTGTCTCAGTGGATGAACCCCTCATGGACTTGACCTCCTTGCTCATACTCATGGAGACTTCTTATTAATTGTGAAAGCTTATTCATCTGGTTTTATTAATCTACGTTTCACCATGTGGCTCTCATTCTGTATGCCTGACTCCCTCCGTGGCTCATCGGCATTTCATATTTCATAGTTGATGATCTCCTCCTACCTCCTCTGTCTGCCCAGAAGCCCCTCCTATACCTCCTGCCTAGCTACTGGCCGTTCATCTCTTTATTAAACCAATCACAGCAATACTTCATCACAGTATGCAAATATCCTACAACATAACACTGGATTTCTACAGGTTCCTTAATTTTATTTAGTCTTCAAAACAATACTAGGAGATATTTTATTATACCCATTTAACAGACAGGAAGACTGAACTGTAGAGTTAAAAGCTTACCCAAATTCAAACAACCAAGTTATAAAGCAAGAACTGAAACTTCTGCATCTGGCTAACATTGTCTCTACTGTGCAATCTCTCTGGAAATCTGCACACAGAGGTGAGCACGCAAGCGTGAGGTTTTAGTTTGTGAAGGGAGCTCTCTTGAACTTGGAAGGGTGAGGCTCTGCCCTTTCAGGATCTCTTTCTGGTCGACTGTCTGGACCTGCTCCTACCCTAAGTGTCTTTTCATTCTTCCTTCTAAAGGCAAAGATGCCCTGCGAGCCTTAACTCCCACTGCGGAGCCTGTACAGCAGTGAGGTCGGCTGGAGGCAGAACCAGCTCTCCGCCTAGATTAAAGAATGGGCCCTGGACAGGAGAACTTGCCCTGTGGCTCTGGCACAAAAGGGAAGTCACATCTAAAGAAGAGAAAAGAGAGGAGGCAGTTCTGATTTCTCACGGAGTAACAGCAGGAGCCTGCCGGGAAGTGAGTCTTGATCCTGCTTGCCATTGACCCATGTCCGGGATCTCCTTTCTTCTGCTTTCTACATAGTTAGACTCTTAACAGTTCTATGGGGGTGGGATCACAAATGAGGAACTCAGAAGCTGTAGGAGAATTCACATCTTTATTTCACCTGACCGAGCAAGCATTTTCTATGGCTTCCCGAAAGCCCGGCGCCGTGGCAGACACTCCCATTCTGGATAATACGATATTCTCTATCATAATTCAGCCTGCATTTTTGCGGAAAATTGACATTTTCTGCTCCCAGTCCTGATGTGCTAACAAGGGGGATGTCATGTTTTCATATGCTCTAATTTAGGTTTTACTAACGGATTTAAGCCTAGTGAAAGGTTACCAGAAACACGGATACGGAAGCAAGCTAAGGATCTTACTGTGTTAATGCATGTGAATATCAGAGAACAGGAAGAAGACTAACTAAAATACACCGCAATTTTACCTCTGCCCCTCCCCACCTGGCAGTGAAATTTGTATCTTCTTACACTCGTTTACGCTTTTGCTTTCATTTTGTTCGTCTCTTTTACAAGTATTTATTGGACACCGACTCCATGCTTAATATAATACCATCCTCCAAATGCACAAGGCTGAATAAATGTATGAAAAATCCCACTCTTCTATTTACCTAGCAGAGGCCATAATCAAAACACACGATATGTGCCAAGCACAGTGGCGCGTGCCTTTAATCCCAGCACTCAGGAGACAGAGGCAGGCGGATCTCTATGAGTTCTAGGCCAGCCTGGTCTAAATAATTTTTAGAACAGTCAGGGCCATGTAGAGAGACTTTGTCTTAAGTCCAGCACCAAAAGAAAAAAAAATAAAATTTAAAAAAATAAATAAAAATAAAGCACCAAAAAAAACCCAAAGCCTCTATATGCAATAAATCAAGATTTTTAACTTAAAAAAAACCTCTGTTTTCTGAAAATAGAATTTTGCCTTTCTCATTTATAATTTAAGAGGAATATGGAGGCCTCTTGAATATATTTATTCCTTGTAAACTTGCTCATTTGTGCAAATTTGCTATTTTTTGAATTATTAGTGAGTTTCTCTTTCTTTTTAATAGCTTCATAAGTAGAAACAATAATAATAACCAAGACCTGGCAGTACAGGCTTGTAATCCCAGCTACTTATGGGGCTGAGGTAGAAGGATTGCAAATTCACATACTGCCTAGATTACAGTGAGTTCAAAGCCAGCCTGGGTGTGTTTGTCATGCCATGCCTCAAAATTACAAATGAAAACAGGCCTGGGGCCACAGCTCAGTGGTCAGACCCTTACTCTGAATGTGCAAGGCCCTGAGTTCAAGTCCCAGTGCCACAAAGTGAAAAATAAATCTCGTGATCGATCTCAGAAAACATCTCCAGTTCATCACAGTAAAAGGCGAATTGTTGAAGCCACCTCACGATGTCCACAGGCCACATACCGTGTGATTTGCGAACCAGGTAATGTCCCCTTCGTTGCCAGTGTAAAAAAGGATTACGCCATCGTACGTCTTCCAGTACCTGTCGGCGATCAGGTACCGCTGCTTGAAAGATTTTGTGTTGTAAAACCCAAAGTGATCAACCTACATTGGAAACAAGACAGACGAGACATATGTCAAAGAAAGTCATCAGGCTAGCAGAAACAGGAATTGACGAACATCAACCTGGATCATTAAATAATCAAAAAAAAAAAAACTTGAAACTTCATTTGGTTTTATCAGTAGTAACAATTATGGTAATTATTTTTGCAGTAATACAGTGTGCAACATATTTTGAAATGTGTATACGTTGTGGAATGTCAAATTGAACTAATTGCATAAGCTTTATATACTTACTACTTCTTCTAGTGAAAGCACTTAGGATCTATACTCTTAGCAGTTTTGAATAAATCACCGTAATTTTCAAAATGAAGATGGTGTAAGAGGTCCTTCTTTTTATGTGTTGCTTGTATTGGTTAATAAATAAAGAACTGACTTGGCCTGATAGGCCAGAACTTAGGTAGGCAGAGAAGAAAGAACTGAATTCTGTGAGGAAGAAAGCAGAGTCAAGGAACACCGTGTATCCGCCACTGTCCCACCAATAGACATTCTAAGTGGAAGGATTCATGCCCAGTACTATCCCCCATCAAAACAAGACTCAATTAAAGAAGCAAAAACTTCTTAGTGAGGTGAGTGATTGACATTTGGGACCAGAAAATTACAAGACTGGCCAACAAAAAAGGAAATCCTACTCAAAAATTAGTAAAGCTACATTAACGGATACAGAAGTAAATTACAAGAAA